TTTCAATTTAAAGCATCAATAAACTCTTTCCAAGAGTTTACTCTCACCATGCTTTCAATTTACCAAGTCTTCATGAGTGTGTTAGTTGTACAAGAAAATTAAAACAAAAATTACATGAAGTGAGACTTCATATAAGGTCCTTTAGATTAGGTAGACTCATGAACCACTTGACCAATGGTTACATAAGATACACATGCAACACACTATATATAAACTTTATGTATTTAATATATAGGTCCATTTATACTTCTTTTCTATATATTTATTTATAAAATAAAATAAAAATAATTTTAGATAAGATGAAACTTACATCCAGATAAATGTGATTATTTAACACTTTATAGACCACTAAACCAATTTGTTATTGACTTAAATAATTTATATAATATATTTTTAATTTCAAATAAAATATTTAATTATATATTAATTTATGTGATTCAACTAATTTATAATTTAATTGTTATATCAATATTATAATGACTACAATTTTTTTCTTCAAAACTCTTTTAAGGCACGATATAAATTTTATTAAAATATATATATATATATATATATATATATATATATATATAATCCATTTATTTTATAAATAAATCTACTTAAATTTATTTTGTTCAGTAACTCATGTTTTATATTAAATTTCAACAATCTAACTATTAAATTTAAAATTTTTAATTTATAAACGATAATTTTTTAAAAATCTTAAAAATTATTTGATATTTCATTTCATTAATTCAAATTGATAGATAATTATAAAAATATTTTATATATTAATTTAAATATTAAAGTCTAAGCAAATTAGTTAACCTTATTGCCTTCAAAAAGAAAACTAAAATTTTAATTTAATGATACAAGATTGAATGTAAAAGACTGAATAATGATTTTTTTATGTAATAAAATAATTTTTTAATCTAAAAAATCACGTACGAAGATAATAGCGATAAAAACCTAATCCCTATTTAGTACATTAGAAATCGAAAAAAACAAAAATTGGATAGATAGAGAAGAAATGCTTAAGAATTAAAATTAGAAAGTTGTTTAGTTAGTAAGAAATATGTCAAGTGCAAAATAAAAAGGTGTGAATCTATATTTTTTGTTTGAGTTTAGATGCCTGAAAATGGTCTAAAAAAACCGTTGTCAATGCATTTTGTGACAATTTTTTTCTAACAATTTAAAACTGTCATGAAAATTTACATTTGTTGATTTTTTTTTTGTCTTGTTTCTGACTATCAGAAACCATTCTAATTAAAAAAAAATTTAAAAACATGTATGTGATTTTGAAACTGCCAAAAAATGTAATTTAATTAAAAATAATTACAATCAATTAAAACATATTTCGATGATTATTGTTATGATAAAAAAAAATTAAATAAAACAATCTTTTTATTTTCCCCTTCTCTATTTCTTCGTATTTGTCATAAACTGATTAATTAAAATTTTCATATTATTTTTTTTTATCTATTTCTGTATTCTCCATTTTTCATCATTGTATGTCTCACTTATTTCTTTATGATATGCCAAACACAGCCTAAACACAATTTTTTGATGTATATTAAAAGGAAAATTCTTCTTCTTCCGAACGCAACCTCCGAAATATATTCCAAATATATAAAAAATAATAATTTAAATTATAAAATATTAAATTAAATAATAATTTTATAATAAAATGATTAAAAATATAAATTTTTTAAAATTTCGGACGATAATTCGTTTCATTTTTCGAAACGTGTAGCAATCCTCGTATTGAAATTGAAAGGTCCCCTTGACATGAGATTTTTGTGTTTATCTTATCTTATTTCTTTACTAAATACTAGTGTTTGAGGAAACCGACGTCACAAAATTTATTGCACCAGGGTCCGCGAAACAGCTGATTATTGTAATTGTCTGGAGCAGTGAGTTGGACATTGAACACGTGTCACGTCGCGCGCTGTTATCCTTCAACCACGAAGCTTCCGCAACCACAGTTCTTGGGCCTGCTGTGGCCCGTGTGGGCCCCAGCCCACTTAAGGTTCAACCACGCTGATGTCATCACCCTCCAACGTTTTTTCGTTACGTGGCACTGCACTCAATAGTCAATACTATTAACTATTAAGAACTACCACACATATTTTAAAACTACACTTTCATCCAACTAGTTAAGGTATTAGATCAGTATATTAAAAGTTAAATTAGTGGATTATTAGTTCAACTATATAATTCGATTTTTATTTATTTTTATTAAAAAATATTCATATTAAATATATTTTATACTTATAAATTTATATTTTATTTTAAATTTCGATTTTTTTATTTTATTTAAAATTATTTTTATTTTGTAAAAAAATACATAAAAAATTACATGTTAGACTGTATATTAATACAAATTAAAAATATAAATAATATATACATATATAATATGCTTGTAATTGATATTGATATCACAAAATAATATATGTAATATTTACATAGATATTGCATTATTAAATATATAATTTAAAATTAATAATATACTATAAAAGTTATTTAAGTTGTATATATTACAAATAAATACATTAGAACAAGTAGTCATTGTTATATTTAATAAGATTTTTTATTCTTCTATTAAGAAATTCAAATTTCATTATTATTTTTGTGGTTTATCGTCCCTTAAATTTTTTTTTAAAAAATAAGAAAAAAGGTGGTTCGCCGGTCACCGGCTGAACCAGAAAATTGGCCAGTTCAATCCGGTTTAAAACGTGTTGACTGCATAATCGATCCAACTTAAGATTCGGACGAGTACGAAATTCTCTCTTTCTTCTCTATTTTTAAATATAAATAAATTTAATTACTCTTATATTATTATTAAAAAATATTCTTTCCGTTGATGTTTCTCATAAAGATAAAAAAAAAAA